AACACAGTGTGAAGGCACTTTGCGACCGATCACCAAACCCCTTCCTCCCTTCTTTCCTCCTGCACCGTGTTTGCCTTACCCGCCCCCAAGCGCCCTTTTCACCTTCAGAGGATCTTTCATAAATTCACGACGCATGTTCTCACGCTGCGCCCGCTCCATCTTCTTTTGCCTCTTCCGCAACTGTGAACTCACCAGCGCACCCCATTCATCATCCACACGTGATGATGACGAGAATGATGAATGGGGTGGCAACTGTTCCTCTTTCTGTTGCTTTCGTCCTTCTTGAGACAACCGCCTCGTCCCTCTCTGCGGCTGAGTTTCCGGGCGTTGCCTTTCCTCTTCACCGATGCGACTTGTCCCGTCCGGCAAGACGGAGCTTGCACGAGGCAGCAAGGGTCCCACCAAACTATCTTGAGTACCAGTGATTCGGGTGGGAGACGATGAAACGGGGAAGTTCGGTAGAGCCACATGAGATTGCAGCACTCGCTGAAGGACGGCCTCAACACCATCACCATCGCCTTTCGTCTGCAAGTCATCAATAAAGTCCAAAGAAACATGGGTGAATTCATCATCATCTTTATCGTCATTGATGTGTAAGATCCGCTGAAGACGTGAGCGAAACGCCGCTCCTCGCCACACGGGCTGAATGACACGTGCAGCTGCTTCATAGCGCCGTCGCTGTGATTCCGCATAAGCCGCCTTTAATGACTCAAGCTCCTTCTTGGCTCGCCTACCAAGGAGCCGAAGACGCATCCATTCACAAATGAAAACTTTTGCCCTCGCTTCACGGTGCTCCTTCATGCGCTCATGGTAAAGCACCGAACGTAAATGCATATTGGCCATTATTTGCGGCATCGTCTGCAGAGCCGTTAAATGTTGCCGCAGGATACTATTCGTTTCACTTCCATTTCGTTCATCAACCGTATTCGATAAAAGATGAATAACCGGATTAAAACGCTGCTTTGATTCACGAAATCTTTTTTGTAGTTCCTCCTCCACGCGTAACGCATCATGATGCCGTCTCCGGCAAAAGGCGATAAGAACATCTTGTTCCTTTTGAAGTGTTGTCAAGGCCACATCACTTGTGAGGGCCGAAAACAACGCAGCATACCCGCTTTTTATATTCATGTATTGCAAACCCCATTCCCTACTGCCACACACTTGCTGTAAATCTTCCACTGTGGATCCACATGGCCAATACCAAGCGTCATACACCGCACTTTCGTGAAACTGTTGCCTCAAACGACGAGCCATGCTAAAAGGGCGAAGCCACATGATTTCGTTCTCCATAGCACTGCTGCGTTCTGCATCTATCAATTTCTCATTATTGAGCTCGGAAAGTTGTGGAAGCCAGGCAAGCAGTGTCATCTTCACCTTTGCTGATGTTCCAAATTTGTTGCAATCAATCCCACGCGTAAATGGATTTTCATTCACGGACAAACTCCGTAACTTTTTGCACGCCGCAAGAGGAGAAAGATCTTCCACTCGTTGTAGCCGGTTAAATGCAAGACCTACGACTGTAAGGCGGGGGCAATGCGCCAGGCCCGATACATCACGCAACTTATTATTCTCGACATGAAGCACCGATAGAAAAGGGAGCCAGCAAAAACATTCACTGGGAAGTACCTCAAGTTGGTTCTCATTCATAAAGAGCTGGCGTATGAAGCCAAGGAATAGAGTTTTTGGGAACGCGCTAATCTGATTTCGTGACAGATACAAATTCTGCAGCAGTACATGTTGCGCAAATGCGTCCCAGGTTATGAGACAGTTCTCACTCAAGTCCAGAGTCCGTAAGAGAGAAAGATGTTGCAGTTCAGAAAGCGAGGAAATTCGGTTACGACTTGCCTCAAGGCTCTCAAGATGAGTGCACGACGCCAACGGCAACAAAGAGTCAACATGGTTTGCATACATCACCAATGAGCGTAACCGGTATGGAAGAAGCTTTCCAATGACCTCGACACTATGCAATTTATTCATAGAGACATCAAGGTGAGAGAGATGGGTTGACTGTGCCAAGGAATGAGCATGAGCCTCCGATACCCCACGCAATGACGCAGAGTGACACGTCACATCCCTCAGTCCATTGTCGCTGATGTTTAAACGACGGATGGAAGGAAACACTCGGAGGAGATCATCGAGAGGCAACGTGCGAAGTGCGTTGCCTCCAAGATCGAGCTCCTGTACTAACGGAGCCGCAGGTGTCATGTGTTTCTCTTTGCAATTCATCACACCGCCGTTTGTGCAAACCTCCAGCGTGGCCAAACTAGCAAAGTCCACCGCGGCAACCTGCTCCAGAGCAAAGGAGAGTCTATGGCAAAGCTGCGCCACTTCCCGCAGACTGCTCTTCACACCACCAAAAACAGTCGGTTGCAGCTGCTTCGCCAAATTTGCATCTAAGCGAATGGCTGTGTTATCCAACGAAGAATAGGACACATCATTCGACAGCGTCGGTGGAGTGGGAGTTGAATTAACCCCCGGTCGGACGCCAGGCAGCGGGGTGTTTGTTGTTCTCTCATCCACACCGTGCGTCAATTCCGCTAATGCACTTGCAGTCTGAATTATACCTTTTTTGCACTCGTGTACCCATTTTCTTCTCATGCCTTCCTCCCGTTGCAGAGACTGCAGGCGAAGGGCATTGCCGATAGGTGAATGATCAATACATGTTCTTGTTGCAGGGAATTGACCAGATGATTTCAAAAGTTTCCACGCCTGAGCCGTTTTTTTTAATGGCACCGCTTCTGTAATTCTCTCCTCGTTCCCGTCACTATCTTCCCATTCAGTGAAGTTCGAACGCGACACAGCGGTAATGCTGTGTGCGGTGTGTTCTTGCTGGCGAACAAGTAAAAGATCCCTTGCATTTTGTTCTTCCCGCAAAATTTCCCTCATGGTGCCTTCTTCCATCGCCATAATTTCATGCCGAATGTCTGCATGTTCCTTCGTGATAATACGCACAAGCTGGGACCTGAATTCTTCCTGGCGAAGTTTCTCATTTTCTTTGGCTTTAAAAGCACTTTGGCGTTCTAGGTAAGAAATCTCCCGGTACACATTGCACTCTTCTAAAAGAAGGATTTCACGCATACTGCGCTCATCGGACAGGCACCCCTGAATGTCGTTCTGAATACGTGTAGCTTCCTCCTTACGCCACAGCAAAAGACGGGTTGCTCTTCGATCTTCCTCCTGCATGCACCACGCCTCACGAAGTTCGCAGCGAACACGAAATCCCTCGCGCCGCGCATTCCTTTGAACTTGATTGGTACTCAACGGCTGCGTGTGACTCTTTGCGTCCCCGACCGCCGTCTTTTCTCCGCTCACACTTGGCGCCATTTTCACCTCCTCCGCCGACTCGAGGGTTTCTGTGGCCTCCAATTTCACCTCCATCTCATTCGGTGGCAGAAGTTGATTCACTCGGGTCAAGAATTGATCAAAGACAATTTCAGCCGGCGGAGCACGGCGAGGACGACGGCGTTCCTCTCGCGCTTTCTCCAGTTGCTGGCACGCTGCCGCCTGCAGCTCACTATCTCTTGCTTCCATCGTTGCGATCGATTCCAAAATTCCGGTATGCTGCTTTACCGACGGTGAGTGTGTTGCAAGAATCGGCGCCCCGTGGTACTCCTCCGCCCGCAACGAGGGAAAAACCACAGCCATGACGTCCAGTTCTTCATCACGGGAAGCGTTCATCGTTTCGCCGTCCACGGCATTGTTCCGCAACAGCTCCAGCCGCTGCTCACACCTCAGCACCGCTTCATCCCACTCATGGAGGGTCTGCTGCTCCTCTGTCGTCGGTCCAAATTCATAAGCAAAGAGATTTTTGAGCTCCTTCTTTCCATTTTTTTCCTTCGCTGCGTCTTCATCTTCCGAGCTGCCGTCGCTTTCCGTGAGAGCAGTCGTTGTTGTTTCGGCACCGTGGATTGGAGACCAGCGACGCTCCTCCTCTAGCGCCGCACGTTCTCTCTCCAACAGGTAATCTTCAGCCATGGGATCCAGGTATTGTATGCGTTTAGCCAATAATTCGTCTGCCTCTCGCAGTAGGTCGTCCGCGGTGACCAATAAATCCAGGTCACTCCTTTCATACCTATTGAACTGTCTGGCGGGCGAAACATCTTCCATTTCAAATTTACCTTCTTCGCGGTCGATAGAACCAACAGCATCCGATCTCTCTACAGACAGCGGGCTATGAGGGGTCATGATTGGAACAATCTTTGTGTCGCCATTTAAAACCCCATTCACGCCATCCCACAGAGGTATTGCTGTGGAATACGAGAGCATGTGGGTATGGTGCAATAAGACACAGTCAAGAGGCCACGTATGGTCCACATGATTGATTTCTCCTGCGTCCGTCTTGTCCAACCTCTTGTTATCATCATCGCCCTCATCAGGACGAGTGCCAGTGAGAAAAACGTCCCTTCCGCCGTAATCAAAAACACATGTGGATGCAGCAGGAAACCTAAGAAGATCATCGTAAGGACCCTTGACACCATACTCCGCCAGAAGTGCAGCTTCCTCCTCTGTGAGAAGCTCCAGTGGCGGCAAATTATCGCCCATTTCCCTCCTTATTTCTTCTCTTTACTACTCTTCTGGAAGATGTCACCTTCTCCAGCACCCTGATAAATTACACTCAAAAAAGAAAAGAACCACACAAAGCAAAAAAAAAAAAAAAAAAAAAAAAACAACTCTCACACGTACATCACTCACAAAGGGGCAGTCAATGATTTTGTAATATCCACTCTTCTAGGTTCATGTAATAATACGCAACGTAAATGCATGCATAATGCTTGACGATATTCCATGGGACTCTGTTTCTATCACTATCGGACCCAATGTTTGTCCTTTTCACCCTCTTATTATTATTATTATTTGATTGCAACAATATGGGTGTGTGTCTATTTGCCACAGGTCCATCCTTTAAACAGGCACGCAGACGCTGGTAGAAGAAAAAAAATATATATGTATATATAATAAATAAATAAAACTCCTTGTCGCAGTCGAACAGAGCACATCTGTTATACCTCTAGGGCCCATATATCAGCTTTAGAGAAGCAAAGACAACGGGAGAAAACGTCCACCTCGTTCATTATGGAGAGTCTCTGCGCTGATGGCAATGGTGGGAAAATGCGCTGAAATCCACCGCAGTAGACCAGCTCGTCCTGTAGGCGAAGCCCCACCTCCTCTCTGGCCTCAGTATCATTCAACGGTCGAGGGTCACGACTCGCGCCGCCGCACCACCGATGAACGGTTTCTGCAGCTTCTTTGGAGAGAGGATCAAGGATGCCAGAGAGACGCAACTCGTCGTCCAGCTCGTCAAAGCAAGATACAGGACGCTCAAACGGTTCAATCATTGCAAGATTTAAAAGATCGGCCACAATATTTGTCTTGACCGCATAGTCGAGAGGGGACGAGCTGGCAAGAGAGGGCAACGTATTCACCTCGACAAGCCACGGCTTAAGCTTCGAATCTAGCATCAAGTCAAATCCATAAAGCTCAAAAAAGCCGCCGGGAACGGAGAGGCTACATGTGGCAGTCGCCAAAGGAACCTTCACGGCAAGCAGAGTTTTGACAATCACACGCGCAATTTCTTCCTTGACTCTCTCTGACATGTGCCGGTGTAGCGACGTATTAATTGGCGTTACCGCCGGGTGCATAGCGTCAATATGCTCCCACAAGTCACTCAGACTCTTCTTGAGCTCTAATGACGGCGGAGATAACTTCTCGCCCGAAGAGATATCAGATACCACACTAATATCCTCCTCCCCTTGAATGTGAGATTGTTTGCCCCGTGTATGCCATCGCCTCCCCACGGAGTAATTTGTGAGGTCACGGAAGGGATCAAAGTTTGGCCCATTGCCAGCACTGCTATATTCCTGCGCCGCCAGACGCACAAGACCTTCCTCATGAAGATAGACGGTCAACGGGTCGTAGCTTGTCACCGCTACGTAAAGGCGAAGATCCGTTTTTCGTCCGTTAAGCAATAATGGATTCTCAATGTATTCCTGGACAACATACTTGCGTCCCACCATACCAGGCCCTGGCGTCTCCGTCAATATGCGATTTTTAATCTCCGCCGCCAGACGTTGCCAACGCGGCGTGTTCTTAGTCCCACCCAAGCATGTAAATATACCGTGACCGCAACTCCCACGCGCGGGTTTCCAAATAAAACGTTGCGTAGACGGTGCTTCTGCCAGGGCTTTGAAAAGCACTTCACTTTCGTCTGGAAACACCCATGTGCGTGGAACAAAATCGTAGAGCGTCTTATCTTCTCCAACTTCTTCAATTAATTTCGACACTTGGCGCAGGCGTCTTGTTAGCCCCCACTTACAGCCAACGTTAACATGACTGCGTGGGAAGTGGTTAAAACGCTGATGATTGCACACCATTCGAACTGAACTGGAAGTCTCTGCCTCCTCGTTTGTGGCAGCGGATGACGCTGGAAAGACGATATTGTCTGTAGCACCATCTGCATGTGGAGACGTACACGACGACGACAAATGCGATGGTGACGATGAAGAAGGGAGATGGTAAACACCTACAGCGGGATATAGAGGCATGGAACGTCCCCAAAGGACATTGCTCGGGAGAGAGAAATTGGTGCCGGTGGGAAGACGCTTAAAACCCGCCTTCAAAAGCGGTAGCCGCAGGGCATAGTACTCACATGAAGAGGACGTAATGCAAAAAAGCGGTAATGCCGTACCAAGCGGTGGTGCTCTAAATGCGTAAGCAGGCGGACTATCACGCATCCGCGTAAAAAGAAAGGTTGCTTTGCGGCGTCGACTTCGGCTCGGCTTCAGGTAGACTGCCTGCTCTGGTGGAAGAGAAGGTTGCTTCATTTGCTGTTTTTCCTCCATCCCAGTCGCCACTGCCACCACAGGCTGATGCCCCCTCAAACGACGGCAACACCGCATATCCTCCTTTCGTTTTAAATTCTTTTCCTTTTACTTTTTTACGGGGTAAAGTTCCGGTGTTTTTGTGTATAACAAAAGAAAAAAAGAAAAAAAAAAATAATAAAGAAAAAAGTTTTATACACCCTTTGGAAGATAAAGTACATTTCCTCCTTTCTCAAGGCAGAGAAACAGCCTTCATATGACGCCAAACAAGTGGCTGCGAATTGGAATTTACGCTGTTGGTAGTCGACTGCTTCTTTCCATTGAATCATCCTCATCCAGTCCGTGTGGAGCGAGCACCTTCAGCAGCCACTGAAGATCAAACTCCTTCAAAAGACCAAAGTACGGCGAGCTCACGTACCAGCTCGCACTAAGTGGCAGTTCACCTGCATACTTCCCGTGGCTCGTCAGTGCCTTCGGAAGCACGCCATGAAGAGCTCGAGCCGCCTCATAAATTGAGCGAATACGCGGACGATTTTTCTCGACAAAGTCATTTGCAATCGATACTGCCTTCAGTTTGGTGAGGCTCTTCGGCGGCGGTTGCCATTTCAGTGTAGGGCTCATCGCATCTGTTCCGTGCCTTGCATCCCATTCAAGGCCTTTGCGCACAGACTCATGTGTTGGGTGCTGCAAAACCGCAAAGTTTACATCAAGCGCCTTTTGCAGGGAGTCAAGCCGCCTGTGATGCGCTTGCCAGAGTCTTTCGGCAATTGCCTTCTGTCCGGCAGGCGCCGCCGCCTCGGAAAAATTGTTTCCAAGCGAAACAACATACGCCGGTGTGAGCGGCTGAGCCGAGACAAAACCCCCTGCAATAAGATCATTCACTCTAAACTGAAAATCCCGCAACGACAAGTTTAACGCATTTGCTGCTGTCACAACGTTTTCAATTCGTTTGTTTCGCCGAAACAATTCAAATACCCCGTCGAGCACCTCGAGCTGCGCCAACACACCGCTGATTCCGGAGGATCCCATCGCATCACGCCCCCGCTTTCGCTTTGCTGAGTGATCGGTGGTGACAACCACTTCCGCAGCGGCGTGGTTCACACGGTACCCCATCGGTGCTGTCCCATGCAACTCATGCAGCACCCCACTTTCCTGCAAAACAAGCATGAAGAGAACCGTTTCTACGGTCTCTTCACCCACAGCAAGTTGCTCTGAAATTTTAGAAACGGAAATCATCGTCAACTTCTCCCCAAAGTGAGTGGTGGGACTGCTAAGAATAGAACTCACAATGGCGTGCACCTCCAACGGGGAAAGACAGGACGCGAGAGCCCGTGAGCGAAGAGTGTAGTAATCAAAGGGGTTATAAAGTAGACGACAGAACGACTTTTGACCATCACGCCCTGCACGGCCGGTTTCTTGCACATAACTTTCGAGAGAGCTCGGCGCTGAGGCGTGAACAACGGAACGGATATCGGCTTTATCAATGCCCATTCCAAACGCCACCGTAGCGACAAGCACGTCAATACGGCATTGCATGAATTCTTGTTGAGTCTTTGTTCGTACATGACGATCAAGGGCTGCGTGGTAACTTCGAATGATGATACGTTCCTTTCCCTCCACGGTTCTGCGACCACCGCTTTTTTCCATCTTCACATGTGTGGCACTTGTGAAGATGGAAGAGGATGTACCGTCCAGACCATTCCCTCTCGTTCCGCGCTGCACGGTGCCAAGCTTTGAAATGAGAAAAGTTGCCAATTCATCTGCATCCACACGTGTCTGGACGTATACAAGCATTGGTTTCGGTAGCTCTAGCACAGCTTGCAGGAGCTTCTCCTGGAGCATCCGCTGCGTAGGAGGCCTTTGACATCCAACGTCCAGAAGAGAAACGGACTCCAATTGGAGATTCTCACGACAGTACGGTACAATGACACTTCGCTCGATGCGGAAAATAACTTTGAGGTCATCAATAACAGACGGTGATGCCGTGGCCGTGAGACACAAGAAAGGAGGCGCGTGTCTCCGTCCATCCATTGCGAGAATACCGCCACAAAGGCGTTCCAAGACGCGGTGCACATACATGAAGGAGGGTCGAAAGTCGTAGGCCCACTGAGAAACGCAGTGCACTTCATCTACACAAATGAAGGCAATTCGATGTGCATGTCTCTCCAACACACTCCGCAGTTCACTGTGACGAACAAGTCTTTCAGGTGAAAGAAACAACAAGTCAATACAACACAATGGAGAGGCCAACTCATCCAAAATCGTCCGCTCACGAGAAGTCGATGTACCAGAGGAGAGAACTGCTGTTCGTAGACTTCCACCACTGGCAATTTTTCCTGCTTGATCGGCCATCAAGGACAACAATGGAGACACAATAACAGCAAAATGGGACTCTGGTGGCCCACTCGAAGTCCCGGATGTATCTGAGCCTTGTAGGTTCTGCCATGCTCTAAGTTTGGCTTCAAAGATCAAGCGGTAAACAAGGATAGGAAACTGGAAACAAAGCGTTTTGCCCCACCCTGTGGGAAACACGGCAAGCGTGTTCCGCCCCTGCAGGATGGACAACACCACCTCCTGTTGGCCTTGACGGAACTGGCCCGAAGCAACGCCCAAGTAAGTTCTCAGAATATAATTGCATACTGGCACGGTCTGCATAGAAGAAACGGAATAAGAAGAAGTCATTAGGGATTCTTCAAAAAGAGCCTCAAGATTTACCTGCAAAATAGTCTTGTTTTCCTCTGCTTCTGCCTCTTGAACCACATCCGATAAAGTCGTCTCTGGTCTATAAAAGTTGTTTTGGGCAGCTGGATAGTCTCCCGTGAATTTTTTCCTGACGGTACTCTCGTCCTTCTTAAAAGTGGAAGGATGAAGGAGCGGAGACGCTGCACCAAATGCCATTAGTCGCGGCGGCGCCAAATACGGAACACATGCAGTCCCTTCCACATCAACGGTTTCTTCTGTATTCACCGCAGGGAATTCACATGAAGCCGTTCCGTCACTAACAATGTCATCATGAAAGAGTTCCTCGCCGTCATCCTGCATAACACCCCGTGCCCAAGAGAGTGAACGCAACCCCTCGGTCCTTCAAAAATAATATCCCCCACCCCTTTTTTTTTTCTCCTCCAACTGCAGTTGAAGATGAGAGATGTGGATGAGATGAGAGCGTCACACATTTTTAATTCGCGAGTATTGTCAAAGAGAGAATGGGAGTGGAAAACAGGAAAAAAGCAACAACAACTAAAAAATACAACAAAATCGTGGCAAGAATTTTTTTTTTTTCCGTGTGTTTGCCCTCACTTTCAAATCAATTCATCCGTAAAGCAAACTGTGTTATCATCGGCAAGCGATGGCATGGTTTCGTCATCTGTTCCATCTTTCACCAACACATCCTCCTGTTCTTCATATTCCTCTTCGTAATCGTCCAAATCGGCAGATTGCCGTTCCGCCATCATCGCTCTTGCTTTCTCACGCCGCCGCTCAAGCTGTATTTCAAGCATCTGCTCCGGGTCATGGAATGGGTAATGATATCGGAAACCTAATGGTGTCAGCGTGCAGATATTGTTTTGCAGAAGGCACAAGCCACGTTGTTGGCAGGATAAAAAGGCCTCTCGCACGCCACAAACTCCGCTGCCAGCCAGCACCTCCTTCTCAATTACTCTCAAGGCACAACGCACATTCAGCGAAGGCAAAGGATTGGGCACAGTCTCATTCGTCCCCATGGAGTAATCAAAAAGATCAAGAACCGCACTCATTCTTCGATGAAAGGAAAAACCAAGAGCTTCTTTTGGCAAATTCCCTTCGTATTCTTCTTTCTCCGCACTAACAACACGGGTTTTCCTTGTTTGGCCATCGGACTGTTGCGCAACGAGCTGCATCACACTATCCCAGAAAGAAGAGCCCTCATCCACAAAACAAACTGCTTGTTCCTTGACCTCCCTCGTAACCTCCCCGGCATGCACATTGTCTCCAGTAGTTGTATTATTGGTGCGTTCATCAACAGCGTGAATGTCACCGGGAACCTTGCGGTTTCCCGTAACGACAAACTCCAACACATCATCGTACGTCATGCGGGGAAGATGTGGACGAAGTGTCGTTAACAAGTGCATGATCCTGGACGGAGTCAAATGCAAATGCTCCAAAAAAGATAAAATGCGAGAGTTCATGGCGACACACTCACGGTATCGCAACAACCGCTCCTTCTGCTCAGCCAATCGCTCCGCTTTCGTCTTGGCAGCCATTTCTTTTAGCATTGCAATGGCCCTTTGACATCTCTCCTCCCGATCCCGTCGTTCTTTTTCCCGCCGCTCCTCTTTTTCTCGCTCGTGATCCTCTCTCAGCCTTCGGATGCGTTTCTGTTCTTCGTCTTTCATTTCCCAACGCTTCTGCTGCTCGCTTTCAAAGGCTCTGTTCCTCGCCTTCAGCTCCTCCTTTTTCTGTACCTCCGCCAGCAGTTGCATCGTTTTTTCGTCCTCCTCCTTCTGCTGTTGTTCCGCCACCATTTTCCTTTGCATTTCGGCTCCGCCAAGAAGTTCATTCTGCAGCTCCAAAAGACCCTTCCGCGCCGTTGCTGCGGCTGATAATGATGTTTTTGTTTTTGTTGTTTCCAAAGGATGGTTTAAAGGCTCTTCGAGCAGTGCCTCCTTTATTGCAGGAATGAGAACCCTCGTCAATCTTTCGGCGCTCAACAGCAGCTGCGCCAATTCACAACGTCGATCGCCGTCCAGCAGACCGAGAATGATCCCAATAGACTCTGTGGAGGAAAAGGGGACTGCGGGTGCGTAAAAGTCATCCACGCACAATCCCCCCCTGAGCCAGACTTCAAGAAGAATCTTGTAATTGTTTATTGAGCACTGCGGAGAACTGTAGACATCAGGCATCCGCTGTGCAATGACTCCGCAGCACTGTATTCGACGCGTGACACACACAGCAGAGAGAACTGCGGACATTGTCTTTGGTCTCAGACATGACACGTGAGACCTTTTGCCCCAGGGGCTTATGATTGAAAGGAGGAGATCCAAGTAGCTTTCCCATGTACAGGCATGCGGTATTTTGCCAGCACCTTCATCTACAAGCCGAAG